CCCCAAAACCCCAAAACCCCACAAGTTTTAGATTTGATTGATATTCTAGAAACTGAGTGCGAAAACAAAATATTAAATTTTATAAAATATTGTGCGTAAATGGTAAATATCTTCAATTTACTGTTCTCAAAAATCTTATTGAATTGACAATTTAGGAGTATTAAAATAGAGATTACTAAGATAATGAGGATTAGGAGCCACAAAGGAATTCACCTCAACAATATCAGCAGAATTAAGACGATGCAAATTTAAGATCTCCTAATAGTGATGACAATAACAATATGGAGGATGGAGAAATGGGTCAAGATGGCTAAGAGCCTAACCAAAACAGTGCTACCAAAAAGTTAGTAGATTCCAGACAAGCAAGGAAAAAAGCTGAGGAAGATGTTCAATTACTTGCCAATAGAATAAATCTACTCAAAATGGAAGAACAAAAGGTAAGGAACTTATGATAATTGAATACCACTTGATTTTTACTGAGATTCCTCTCATAATATTTTGTGAAAACAAACATAACTTTTTTATTTGAATAGGCCTGGAAGAAGATAGAAGAAACAAAAAAGAAAGCCAAGGATATAATGCAAGTTAAAAATCGCAATCAAGAGTAACAAAAACTCAAAGAACAGAGAGCTCAGGAGAAAGCTTTAGAGGAAAAGATGCTTGCTGAAAAAAATCAAAATATGAAGACAACAATAAAGGAAACTATTCAGACATCAAAAGAGCAGCATTATAAAAATGTTATGGATGAAGCTGAGAGATTAAAGCAGGAGAAGAGAGAACAGCTAGAGATGGTCTAAATGCAGCAGTAGCAAGACTTATTGAAGAAGGCTAGTCTGAGATAGCAGATCAAAGCATAAGAGTTGACAGTGGAGGAGAAGAAGCAGAAAGATTACGCTGACAAAAAAGCTAAAATTAGACTTGAACTTCAACAGAGGATTATTGCTGAAAATCAAAGACGCATAGATATTGAGGTAAATTTTATTAGACTAGTGATAATGTTAATATAGTAAAACATATCAAAAATGGAGTAGGAAGAGTTGGAGTTGATTCAGAAATTGCAAAATACTTAACTTATCTAAAAGGAGGCATTTGAGCAATTAGAGACCGCTTTAACATAAACTGTACAAATGCCAACCTAAGACAGTGAGTCTTCTAGATAAAATCTAAGCTCATAAAAGCAGAAGTACCTAAGCTCACCTATGAAAGGATAGGGAAGTGATGAAAAATAATCAAGACCGAAGACTGCTTAGACCAATCAAAGTACTCCACAATAAGATAGTTGAAATCTATAAAGTCTAAGTATCACATATATTCTTTAAGCTTATTTCGTTTTAACTTCTCGACTTATATCAATGTTGGGGTTTTGGGGTTTTGGGGAGATCGGAAGAGCGTC